ACATGAAGATAAAATAGAGAAGGTCTAATAGGAGAAAATATAAGAAATAGAAGGCAAGCAATATTCAGAAAGTTCACAGTTGAAAGTTTTCCAGAATCAAAGAAATACCTTCTCATTTGAAGGAGTAAAACACATTTTCAACCATGATAAATATAAAGGAATCCTCACTGTTATGTCTTGGTGTAACTTCCAACCATCAATAACAAAACAACAGTAAAAAAACTTAAAAGGCTACCAATGAAAAAATATTTCCTTATAAAGAGATGACTTCTCTACAAGAAGAGTCACAATAAACAAAATATTATCTCTAAATTGCAGAGGGAAAATAATGGTCAACCCAGGATTCTATACCCAATAAAGCTATCCTGCAAGATAAAAAGCAAAAGATCTTTGTGGTTCAAAGACAGGATGAGTATTTTTTTTTTAAGATTTCATTTATTCATGAGAGACAGAGAGAGAGGCAGAGACATAGGCAGAGGGAGAAGCAGGCTCCCGGTGGGGAGCCCGACATGGGATTTGATCAATCAACCTGATAGAAAGCAAGAATGAAGAAAAACATAATAAAGAGAAAACACACAGGAAGTTTTATATTTGTTTACATGTGTGTATTAGTGATGTCAGATTAATAAGCTCAGATATATCCACTTTTACAATAAATATAGTTTACATCTTAATAACTATGAGATTAGATTTTATTGTAATTAGCCATATACCACTAATGAAATACACTTTAACATACAAAGTTTAAAAAAATAAGACCAGATGAATTTCACAGATATTTACAGAACTTTACATCCAAACACAACTGAATACATATTCTTCTCGAGTGCACACAGAACTTTCTCCAGAATAGACCACATACTGGGTCACAAATCAGGTCTCAACCGAGACCAAAAGATTGGGATTGTCCCCTGCATATTTTCAGACCATAATGCTTTGAAACTAGAACTAAATCACAAGAAGAAATATGGAAGAAATTCAAACACGTGGAGGTTAAAGACCATCCTGCTGAAATATGAAAGGGTCAACCAGGAAATTAAAGAAGAATTTAAAAGATTCATGGAAACTAATGAGAATGAAGATACAACCGTTCAAAATCCTTGGGATACAGCAAAAGCAGTCCTGAGAGGGAAATACATCGCAATACAAGCCTCCCTCAAAAAAACTGTAAAAAACTCAAATATACAAGCTAACCTTGCACCTAAAGGAACTGGAGAAAGAATAGCAAATAGATCCTACACCCAGCAGAAGAAGAGAGTTAATAAAGATTGAAGCAGAACTCAATGAAATAGAGACCAGAAGAACTGTGGAACAGATCAACAAAACCAGGACTTGGTTCTGTGAAAGAATTAATAAGATAGATAAGCCATTAGCCAGCCTTATTACAAAGTTTTAAAAAATAAATTAAAAAGAAAAATAAATAAATAAATAATGGAGTGAAAGGAAAAATTTTTTTAAAAATAAAATTATTACTAAAGCTTAAGAAAAATGAAGTATGAAGTTTAGAAGTCCTACTCAGTCTTGTAGATTTTATCATTTAAAAATATCAGGATGAGTAGGTGACACTGAAAATGACTACCATTTCCTGCCTGAGAGACTGGGGATCACATTAACTAAGAATGGTAGATGGGGAAAGTCCCACCTTGGAGGTGAAAATAGTTAATATTTATTGACTTCTTCTTAAGCCTTCACTGGGGTCTACCAACCAACTTAGGGAGCATCAGAAGAGTTTGTGTCGTGTGTCATGGAAGCCCCAGACACGGGAGGACTTGGGTGTGTAGGCGGGTGAAAGCCTCCCCTCACCCATAAAAAAAAGGAGCATTCAGGAAGACAGGAGCTGTCAAAGGCAAAGAAGGTGGTCAGTAGAGTCTGTGCTGGAGCGGGGCTGGGCTGAACGAGTACTGAGAAGAAGCTCTTAGGTCAAGGTGCAAGAGGCCAGCCTCGTAAGGTAGGGGAGCCTACTGTTGAGAGATTAAGGAGGAAAAGGGAAGAAATTGAAGGAGCAAAAATGATTTCTCTCTCAAGAAGTTCAGCACCTAAGGGAAGACAGAATGGATGGTAATAAAAAGAAATTCAGGCTCAAGGGAAGTTCTCTTGGAATAGGCAATAACCATTTTTAAGAATAAAACCTTAATTATCTAGAGCCCTCAGGGAAATGCGTTTCCTGGGTAACCGCCTTTTCTAGGTGACCTAATGCTGCTTTTTAAAATACCACTGCTAATTTTGACCATTTTTTAAATACCCAAAGTCACCAGTAATGGCAACATCAGGGTGGTCCCTTGCCTTGAACTGAGGGTGCTCCTCTGTGGCTCTGTCTAACCTCGTTTGGATCTTTCTCGTTGTTGCCCCAAGGCTGCAGACCCGGAGAGGCCAAGGGAATGACTTGCCTCTTTCCAGGCAAGCCACAGGAGCTGGCTTGAGTTCTTGTGTCCGTTTTTTGACCTCTTGGTTTTTTTGAAACATAAATATTAACTTATTTTCACCTCCAAGGTGGGACCTTCCCCATCTATCATCTTCTTTTTCTGTCAGCCACATTTTATCGTAACCTGACATAATTTTCTCCATCTAGCATGCTCTTGAGCTGAGTTCAGGTGTGTGCAGCTCTGACACAGGAAGAGCTATATTGACTCTGTATTGACTCAGCCCCGTTTCTTAACTTAAAAGGCTAAAGTTTGAGGGACGCCTGGGTGGTTCAGCAGTTCAGCTCAGGGTGTGATCCCAGGATCCTGAGATCGAGTTCCGCATCGGGGTCCGCACAGGGAGCCTGCTTCTCCCTCTGCCTCTCTCTGTGTGTCTCTCATGAATAAATAAGTAAAATCTTTAAAAAAAAAAAAAAAGGCTAAAGTTTGGACCCTGGTCAATCACCAGGATAATAACATCCCTCTGATACTGTGGTAGCCTTTCCCTACATGGTTGTATGGCAGGTATACGATTTAACATAAACCCAAGAGTAATCTGGGGTGAGCATCTGAGAGAATCTTCTGAATATAGTATAAGCTACCGAATGTGCATTTTGGGGACGTTTATGGGGCCGTTTAGCCAAAGGCCGCTCTGGGCTCCTTGCTGTTTATTTCCTGATCTCAGTGGGAGAACCCTCCGAAAGGGGCCTCATCCTCCCTCGAGTGCAACCTAAGAGCTTTCTGCCGCAAAGCTGATAATTCTCTCAGGACAGAAGAAGGTGTCTCTCCTACCCACCTACCACCCATTGTCCTGGAGGAAAGGCATTTATTTTGCATGAACTAAACAGCACTTCCTGTGCCCGCTGTAGCGTGTGCCGCGCTCCTCCCTGCTATCTGGGCTGCAAGTAGACTCGAGTCTCAAAGACTTTATGTCCTGGAATCTTAATCCTGAGATCATTTGCTACGAACCTTAGTCTTAAATATTATAATGATGGGCTAGATGCTGGCCTCATTTATTTTATTTTATTTTATTTTATTTTACTTTATTTTACTTTATTTTATTTTATTTTATTTTATTTTAGTATTTGTTTACTTGCCAATCTCTTTTAATATGAAACCCAGCAAATCCATAAGGGTTCTTACCAGAAGAAATAGAAGAGCCTCCTGGTGCTCTGAATTCCATAAAATCGCAGTCCTAAGGGCAAGGCAGAGACATTACAAAGTAGGGAAAAGCCACTAGTAGTATCAGGGTGGTCTGTTGTTAAAGGCTTCCAAGAAGCATTCCTTATAGGGTGACATTTATTATCTTGGTGATTTATCAGAGTCTGGCTTTTAGCTTTTCAGATTCAGAAACTGGTTTAATCCACATACTAAGAACAGATTCATTGTCGGAGCTGGACTCACCCTAACCAAGCTTACAAGATTGATGTGGAAACCGAAATGCCAGTTGACGTTTATGTGGAGAACTATAACTGACTGATATTCTTACAGCACAATGACTGGCTCACCCTTTCCCTGTAGGCAGGCCTACACAAGGAGCCAGATCATAATCAGGTTATTTGGTGAACGTGAAATCAGAGTTAACGGTGAATCATGTTTAATGGCACAGGCTGAGAGAATAATTCATCCACGCTAAATATGGTCGTACCAGCGGAACTAAATCTCTTTGAAGTCTGTCAGCTAAGACTTTCTCTGCTCTGATCAGTATTTGGATAGACACCTGCCGATGTTTTGCCTCATTTTTTTAATGCCACACAGCCAACCCGGGCCCATACACACCAAAATCCCCTCCCACACTGGTCATTATATGTCAGTACTTTGCATTGGCTAATAGTGTAGTCATTCTTTTTCCTAAATGTAAATCTCTACGTGCAATCATATTTTCCAATTCTTGGAGGACCCCCCCACACACACCTGCCGCTGTACCTAAATACCTATATTGATCAAGAGGAGAGTGTGGCATTGATAAGGGGGAGTGAATAGTTCATCCACACCAAGGCTTATCAGTCATTTCAAAAAACACCTTCACATTTTTACTGTACTCCCACGCGACGGGCACTATTAATGTTTTTATTTAAATAAACTCACTTTTTTAAAAAAATAAATTCCCTTTTTAAAAATAATTCTATTTAAAAGATTGACCCCTACCATAAATAGAAAATGACTATCCTTTGTCCTAAAAAGAATGTGGCCCCCAAAAATAACACTGAAAACAAAAGCTCTTATGTTTCCCTAGTACTTTTTCCGCTAGCTATGGTTTGCAGTGCAAAGCTGTGAGCTGAGCAGATCCACGTTAAAGACAGCCTTACACCAAATAGAGACTCTCTCCTTGATATCCCCAAAAACCTCAGAGGAGGACTCAACAGAATAATTTAGGAGGTTCTTTAAAGTATGGGGTGCCTTGTCCATCTACCACCTAAAAGCATAATCTCACATTAGGCATCCCACATTTTGGGAAAAGATGGCCTAGCCTTTTTGAGACTATAGGGGTATTTGAAAAGCATTTACGTAGCTGTAGTGATGCCTCCTTCTCAGCCTTGCTCGACTCTTGATTCTGCCTAATGCCGACTGATGGTCTCATTCCTACTTCTCTCTACACAGGTACACGCTGGCAGCTCAGGACCTGGTGATGCGTGCCCGCGGTGTCCTAAAGGACAGAGGATGGCGGATATCTAATGACCGACTGGGCTCAGGAGACGACATTTCTGTATATGTCATTCCTTTAATACATGGGAACAAACTTTCCTGAAAAACAGCCCAGGGGATTGGGAGGACAGCAGGGGAGAAAGCTGGGATACTCTTAGCAGGACGGGACTGGGAAGTACCCCGGCAGAGTTCCAGGTGATGCAGCCTCTTCCTAGCCCAGGTGGGGAGTGTGCTGCCGAGAGGCCTCAGACTGTACCTCTGGGGGACCCTTCGATTTCAGTTTCCTCTTTAGTAACAGGTCTGGATACTCAACAAGAGCAAAACATAAAGGCTGCTACCGAGAGTTGTGTTTCTTTTGGTTCCTTTAATAGGCCTCCAGGTGGTCACTGCCTGTTTGGGGCACACACATATTTATTTGGAATAGCTAGGCAGCCATTTTCAGGTGTAACTGGCGGAAGACGCTGGCCTGTCAAGCTGCCAGCTTCTCTACGGGTTCAAAGTGCTGCATTGAAAAGTTGGGGATCATGCCTCAGAAAGTGTAAGCACCCCCCTTCTAGTAAGCCTGAGATCTATTTCAGGGAACGCCATCTCTGTGTATCTCTCTCTCTATTCTATCATGGTTATGGTGGGGTGAGGCAGGGATTTTTTTTTTCTCTTTGATATTTCTTGAATCTTAATTGTTTCCCTTCCATAAAACAGGCCTGGGACTTTCCAGCTCCTTGCTGAGGAATATTCATGTGTCAAAGTCCAGCCCAGGCTGTCCCTGTACCCAGTAGCCCACATCACCCAGGCAGCCTTCTGGAACAGTGCCCTGGCTGCCAGAGTTCTTGTCCTTGTTGTGTAACAGTTTGTCTTGAATTGCATTTTCTCACCAAATCAGTATGTTTTCCTGAAAATATGGGCGTTTCTTTGGACCATCGGTTCCTCTGTTGTCTTCAAGGGTCCCCTTTTCATGGCTTGAGATTTCTCTGAGAATCTAGGTTTTCAAATCTGGAATGGTTGGCCCTCCCCACCTGCTGGGGGCTGTGGGGACACCCGTAAAGCAGTGTTTAAGAGATCAGTACAGGAAGCTCCATGTACCAGGCAGTTCGCCATACCTCACATGAAGACCCTTCCTTCATTTTGGATTCAGGTTCCATGGGCTGTGACAGCCCCCAAGGGCCGTGTATCAGTGTACTTTCAAGGAACAATGGTCCCGCTCTCCCTCTCCTCTTCGAAGGGCAAGGCCCACTTAGAATAGCTGTTTGATAAAAGTGAATTTGAATTGGGTTGACGGGTCATTCTCATGCCGTGTGCCCCATGCCTTCCCCTTGGAATCACGTCCCAGCCACCCAACAGCTGAAACCCCAGTTCCCATTGTTGCTGCACTTCTGAGTGTTCCTCACAGGAGCTGCAGAAGCAGCGAACACCAAAACTACCTGTTGCCTCTCTACCACGAGGAATCACAAAGTAGATTTTTAGAAGGCACTTCCATCTCTTAGGCAGACTATGGTTCTGCACTGGGGCACCTTACAGAGCAGCGTCCAATTACTGAGTCTTCCTGCACACGTCCTGTGGCATCATCACCACCTTGAGGATTTTGTGTAATTAGAGCATCCTTCCCACCCGATAAAGAAAAATGTCGTTGATGTGATTCCCAAAGCTGCTGGAGAGCCAATTCCAGTTCGCATGTTTGTTGAGTCCTTTCCTCAGAGGAGAGGAGAGGGATCGTTCCTCCAGGATAGTTCATCACCTTCCCAGAGTTGTAGATATTTTATTAGGAAAGGCCTGGAGCCTCCTCTACTCAGGTATGAATTCATTCCACAGTGTGGAAATGACGCGCTGCCTGGTAGGTGAAGTACTATGGGAACTTACCCACCAGCTGTTTGCCAAAATGTCACCTGGGAAGAATTGGACGACCACGCTGTCAGGGGTCACCTTCATCTGACAGCTTCCCTCCTCCTCCAGGAGATTTCAGCTACCCCAGATGTCTCTGCGGGGACAGGTTTGTGGTAAAGCATTTGCTTCTCTGGCGGAACACTATGCTGTGGGACAACACGCCACCATTTTACAGCATCCTGGTCCCCTTCCTGCTCCTGCTCTGATGCAAAGTCACATACAAATTGAAAACCAGAATGTTTTCTGTGGAGGACCCTGAACTGCCTTCTTTGCGAAGCTGTCCTCACAAGCAGTCACCTCTTTCCCATGTTCCCGATGCCTTTCATCTGTTTCCTCTCCTGGGCTTCTCTGTTGGTCCCTCCTTGAGCTTTTTCTACTTTGATTTGAGCCACCAGAGTCTGACTTTGGGTATAGATGTCATGACAGCCTTCGACTCAATTCACCAGTTCATTTACTGCCAAGAAATGTCTCAGGAAAAATTCTGGAAACCCCCCCCCCTTTTTTTTTTCAATTTATTCTAAAGTCTTGAGCATTCACGTCCTGCTGGTTTTAGTTAGAAAGGTATCCAGGAATTCCTTTCAGAAGCCTCCTTGGTGGAAAGACGTTAGTAAAAAGCTGAAGCCCTGTTTCTGTTTGGGGGATGGGAGGAAAATTAGAAATGAGGCGAATAAATCATATGGGGAAAGAGTGCTTTGTTAGTGCCCATAAAAGACCTACGCAGCGCTGATAAGCTCTGCGAATTGAGCTTACTCTGTTTGGCTTTACTTTGCACCCAGGAACCCAGGCCATCCCGTCCCAGAGCAGTAACTGTGTCTACATAAGTGGGTCGGCCCTTGGAGCATTCCTGGAAAGGTCAAAAGGCAACACACTCAAAATTCTGAAGGACGCATTTACATGTGGTTCTGAAATCTTGGGCAGCTGACTTCTAGCCAACTCTGCTTGTCCTCATCGCCCCAGAGGAAGTCTTGTTTAATAAAAAGCGTTCGATTTCCTGGTCAGGACTTTATGGTTGTCTTGGGGCGGGGAGGTGGCCACTTCCTCTAATGAAAGGCTCTTCCCATTCTAAATCTCTGTTAGGCTGGACCCTGCTCTTCCATATATGTGGGGACAGTCTTTTCCTTAAAGCAAGCAAACTCCCACTCCGTGCACACCCTGCAGGTGACCACCTACCCTGGGTTCTCGTGACACCTGCGGTCGTCAGAGCGGTGGCCGCAGTCACAGGTGGAGGGTACGTTCTGGGGTGGCCGTCCTTCCCTAACTGTGGCTCTTGGGGCAGGAAGGGAGAGGGGAACATCGGGCGAGGCCGCCCACTCAGCTGTGGAATAGGACAAAACCACACCAAGTGGCGATGTTGGTTCCTTTCCCCAGCTTTGGGGAATTTAGGGTATTTGATTTTTTGAAATTCCTAGCAGCTCACCTCTATGGGGCCGTGCGAAGTGAGCTGTGCTGTAGGTAGCTACTGGTGGACAGGGGTGAGAGTCCCGGGACCCAGATTTAGCCTCAGATCTTGGCCATTTGGGCAGGATTTTTGGTATACCAAGAGCACTAGCATGGAAACATTTGGAAAAAAGACTCTCAGGTCTTTAAACTCCTGCTGCTCCTCTCCACGGCACCTCCTTCCTCGCCTGCCAATCGGGCTTTTTTCAACAAGGCCAAGGATGGCCATTGGTTTCTTTCCACCACAGTTTGAGGATCTGACCTTTCCTTAAGTGACCCAGCAGCTCCACTCGTCTCAGAGGGAATATGTCAAACTTTTATGAGCGTCTATTTTCTGTAAATTACTGCTTCTGGGACATTGGGAGAAAGCCGTGAAGAGTCATTGTCTATGCAAAGAACAGTCAGGCTGACCCTAAAACTTACCAGACCTAAGAAAACAGGAGAAGAGTATCTGGCCACAGGATGGGATCTGACATTAGAAACTTGGATTTTTGAGGACTTTACAAGTGCAGAGAAGCGTTAGAGGCCACACAGGACACACAGCCCAGCACGCTGAGCAGACGTGGGCTGGGTGTGGGTGCTGTGGCACATGTGCCCACTGGGATTTTTCAAAGGACACTACGTGAGCAGCCTCACTCGCCTCTTAGGCAAGCACCGTGGCACCTCTTTGTCAGATTTGAGTGGCAGTCTGCGCACTATTCCTCTTTCTAATCCATGATGTTACGTGTAAATAGCTTTAATTTTTCCTCTGCGTCTTAGATGAAGTCTTGTTCATGTAGCAACAGGTAGACAGTGACCAAATGAGGCTGTAAACGTGCTGTTGTTTTCTACCGCGACGTAGTTGAAGGAGAACCTTGTGCCCCCCACCCCCACCCCCTTCCGATCTTCCATGGGATTTTGTGTTTGGGGAGTCCTGAGGTCAGGCTCTTATTTCTGTTTGCTTCCATTTTCTTTGTTTCTTCTGGAGACCCAGGGAAGCCCACTGTGGAGATCATCTGTAAAGGAACGCATCACGGTCTGGGTTTCCCAAAAAATGCCAGATGTACAGGGAATGACAGGAATCTGCCTGAGAATGGTTTCAGAACCATGTACCTTTATGCTTTGTGATTGTGACACCTTGACTTTCGTAACCACCCCCCCCCAAAATGAAAACTGTTTAGTAAAGGGGATCTATTTTGTGTGTTTTGAAACTTAGGTGCGATGTTCCCTGGAAAAAGCTAAAGAAATGTATATGCTCAATGACGTTTTAAAATAAAATACTATATATATGTATATAGGACACTTTTAGAAAAGTGTGTCATTTTTTTTTTTTTAATTCGCTGTGAAGTTTCTTCATATCAGGTAATGGAGTGACAGGAGTGTCACGGCCTCATGGGGAGTTACAAACTGTGAACAGATTCAAAGACAATCAAAAGGGAATGGATGCCAACTCCATAAACCTTCACAAGAATAGCAGTAAAGGCTATCTATCCATTTCAACGATGCATCTAGAAGAAACACCCTGGATGTTACTACCAAGAATTGCTCCCAAGAGGTATTGTTTCTTTTTCTTTTTTATTGAGGTATAATTGATATGCAATATCACATTAGCTTCTGATGTACAACAGAGTGATTCGATATGCGAATACTTAGCGTATTATGTATCCGATACACGAATACACAGTGATTCGATATACAAATTGCAAAATGATCATCACAAAAATTCTGGTTACCATGCATTACATTCATATTAACAGAAGTATTTTTTTCTTATGATAAGAGGAAGCTTAGACACTTTCAAATATGCAATACAATATTAATTATAGCCATCATGGGATACATTACATCCACACGACTTAATTATTTTGTAACTGCAAACTTGTATCTTTTGACCCTCAGTCACCCATTTCTCTCACCCCTCACTCCTGCGTCTCCCAACCAGCAGGCTGTTCTCTGTGCCTGTGAATGTTTGGGGTTACTTTTTATTTATTTTTTAGATTCCGCATATAATGGAGATCATATGATATTTATCTTATTTCACTTATAATGTCCTTAAGGGCAATCCACATGGTCACAAATGGCAAGATCTCATTATATTTTATGACTGAACAGCAAGCGTGTATGTGTGTCCATTTTCCGTATCCATTCATTTGTTGATGGAGACTGTTTTTTCCATATCTTGGATATTGTAAATAATGTTGCAGTCATCATGGGGGTGGATATGTCTTTTTGAGTTAAGAGTTTTCATTTTCTTTGGATACATATCCAGAAGTGGGAATCATATGGTTGTTCCAATTTTAATTTTTTGTTGATGCGCCATCCTGTTTTCCGTAGCGGTTGTGGCAATTTACAGTCCCACCAACAGCACACAGGGTCTCCTTTTCACTACATCCTTGCCAACGCTTGTCATTTCTTGTCTTTTTTTATGAGAACCATTCTAACAAGTGTGAGGTGGTATCTTATGGTTTTGATTTACATTTCCCTGATGATTAGTGATGCTGGATATGTGTCTGTTGGCCATCTGTAGGTCTTCTTTGGAAAGACGTCTGTTCAGATCTTCTGCCCATTTTTTAATTGGGTTGTTTTGGGTTTTTCTTTTTTAACGTATGAGTTCTTAATATATCTTGGATATTAATCTCTTTTCAGATAAATGATTTGCAAATATTTTTCCCATTCAGCAGGTTGCTTTTTCATTTTGTTGATGGTTTCTTTTGCTGTACAAAAGCTTTTTAGTTTGATATAATCACACTTGTTTATTTTGGCTGTCTGTTGATGCCTTTGCTTTTGGTGTCAAAAAAAAAATCATTGCCAAGACCCATGTCAAGGAGCTTACTGCCTATGTTTTCTTTTAGGAGTTTTATGGTTTCAGCTTACATTCAAGTCTTTAATCCATTTTGAGTTAATATTTATGTATGGTGTAGAGGTCCAGTTTCATCCTTTTGCATGTGACTGTCCAGTTTCCCCAACACCATTTATCGAAGAGATTGCTCTTTCCCTATTGTATATCTTTGGCTCCTTTGTCATAAATTAACTGACCATATACATGTGGGTTTGTTTCTGGGCTCTCTATTCTGTTTTATTAATCTATGTGTCTGTCTTTTTGTAAATACCATACTGTTTTCGTTACTATAGCTATAGCTTGTAATATAGTTTGAAATCAGGGAGCATGATGCCTTCAGCTTTGTTCTTTCTCAACATTGCTTCGGCTGTTTGGGGTCTCTCATGGTTCCATACAAATTTTAGGATTGTTTGTTCTATTTCTATGAAAAATGCTATTAGAATTTTGACAGGAATTGCACTGAATCTGTAGAATGCTTAAGGTAGTGTGGACATTTTAACAATACTGATTCTTCCAATCCATGAACATGGTACACCTTTCCATTTCTTTGTGTCATACTCATTTTCTTTCATCAGCGTCTTAAAATTTTAGTATATAGCCTTTTACCTCCTTGGTTAAGTTTATGGCTAGGAATTTATAAATGGGATAGTTTTCTTAATTTCTCTTTCTGATTGCTTGTTATTGGTGTGTAGAAATGCAAGAGATTTCTGTATATTGCTTTTGTATCCTGCAGCTTTACTGAATTCATTTATAAGCTCTAGCAGTTTTAAAGGGGACTCTTTGGGGGATTTCTTATTTTTTTATTTTTAAGATTTTATTTACTTATTCATGAGAGACACAGAGAGAGAGAGGCAGAGACACAGGCAGAGGGAGAAACAGTCTCAATGCAGGGAGCCCGATGTGGGACTCAATCCTGAGACTCCAGGATCACACCCTGAGCCGAAGGCAGGTGCTCAACTGCTGAGCCACCCAGGCGGCCGGGATTTTTTATATATAATATCATATTATCTGCAAATAGTGATAGTTTTACCTTTTCCTTTATGATTGAATGCCTTTTACTTCTTTTTCTTGCTGAATTGCTCTGGTTGGCCTTCCAATACTATGCTGAATAAAAGTGACAAGAGTATGCATCTTTTTCTTATTCCTGGTTTTAGAAGAAAAGATTTCAGCTTTTTACCACTCAGGATGATGTTATCTGTGTGCGTGTCATATATGGCCTTTATTGTGTTGAGGTATGTTCCCTCTATAACCTTTTTGTTGAGAGTTTTTATAATAAAGGAATGTTAAGTTTTGCCAAATGCTTTTTCTGCATCTACTGAGATGATCATATGTTTATTCTTTATTTTGTGAATATGATGTAGCACATTGTTTGCAGAAATTAAACAGTTCTTGTACCCCTGGAATAAATCCTATGTGATTAGGGTGAAGATCCTCTTAATGTATTGCTGAATTTGGTTTGCTATTGGCTTGTAATTTTCTTTTCTTGTGGTATCCTTGTCTGGTTTTGGTCAGGTAATGCTAGCCTCATAAAATTAGTGTGGAAATATTCTGTTCTCTTCTGTTCTCCTCTGTTTTGTAGAAGAGTTTGAAAAGGATTGGTATTCCTATTTGAATCTCGGGCAGATTTCTACCCGTGAAGCCATCTGGTCCTGAACTATTGTTTGTTGGGAGATTTTTGATTACTGAGTCAATCTCCTTGCTAGCAATCAATTTCTTCAGCTTTTCTATTTCTTCATGATTCAGTCTCAGAAGGTTGTATGTTTTTAGAGTCTTATCTGTTTCTTATAGATTGTCCTATTTGTTGGCATGTAATTATTGGTAGTGTCTCTTATGATCCTTCGTATTTCTGTAGTATCAGTTGTAATGTCTCCTCTTTTGTTGCCAATTTTATTTATGAGTACTGGTCATTTTTTCTTGGTGAGTCTAGCTACAGGTTTGTCAATTTTGTTTATCTTTTCAAAGAACCAGCTCTTGGTTTCAATGATCTTTTCTATTGTCTTTTTGGTCCCTATTTCATTTATTTCTGCTTTGATCTTCGTTATTTTCTCCCTTCTACTAACTTTGAACTTTGTTTACTTTCTGATTCCTTGAGTTGTATAATTATATTGAAATTTTTCTTATTTCTTGAGATAGGCATTTATTGCTATGAACCGCCCTCTTAGACTGCTTTTGCTGCAGCCTATAGGTTTTGGTATGTCTCAAGGTATTTTTTTATTTCCTCTTTGATTTCTTCATTGACCCACCCATTGTTCAGTAGCATATTGTTTAATCTCTATATATTTGTGAATTTTCCAGTTTTCTTCTTATAACCAATTTCTAGTTTCATACCATTGTAGTCTGAAAATATGGTTGATACAATTTCAATTTTTTGTAAAGGTTTTATTTATTTATTCATGAGAGACACAGAGAGAGAGAGAGAGAGGCAGAGACACAGGCAGAGGGAGAAGCAGGCTCCCTGCAGGGAGCCCCATGTGGGACTCGATCCCGGGTCTCCAGGATCACGCCCTGGGCCGAAGGCAGGCGCTAAACCGCTGAGCCACCCAGGGATTCCCGGTTTATATGATTTCAATCTTAAATTTGTTAAGCCTTGTTTTATGGCCTAACATATGACCTATCCTGGAGAATATTCCATGTGCTCTTGAGAAGAACTGTCTATTCTGTTGCTTTTGATTAGAATATTCTGTATAAATACCTCCTAGTTTCATCTGGTATAACCTGTCACTTAAGGCTGATGTTTCCTTATTGATTTTCTTTGTGAATGATCTATCCATTGGTGTAGGTGCAGTATTAAAGTCCCTTATTATTATTGTATTGCTATTTCTGCCCTTAGGCCTCTCAATATTTGCTTTATTTAGGTGCTCTTATGTTGGTCAGGTTTATATCCCCTTGTTGACTGAGCCCTTCACCCCATGAGGTATTTTTGAGAGGGCTAGTGATTATATACTTGCTGAAGACTGTAAAAGTCAAGACTCTCCTTAGACGCTTAAGCATTTTAAGTACTTACAAAGTGTTAGTAAAATGTTCCATCTTATAGAGAAAAGTTAACAGATGGGACAAGACAGCAAAGAATGCTAATTCTGCTGAGTTCTAGAGTCCAGGAAGTTAAAAGTAATCTAGAAAATAACACAATGTTAAAAATAACCTAAGTATTGATTCACAAAAGAAAGCTAAAAGTAGGCTTTAGCTTATCTGAAGCTTAGTTTGGAAGAGCAGACTAGCTACAAAGCACTTATATTAGAATAGTTTTATTGTAAAACCACCTCAGCTGGTTTCACCTTCACTTGTACCCTAATGCGAATGAGGCCTCCTCCTCCCCACTCAATAGAATAAAGTCATGAAGAGTCAATCCCAAGATTAAATACCTAAAGGTTAACACATTTCTTTTCTGTGGAAGATGGAGGAGTCTTGTAGCATTCTCTCATGAGCAGCGCTTAGCTTATCAGATTAGCTCTTGAAAGCTGTGGTAGGTTGTCTCCAAAGATGGCTGCCAACAATGCCTCCTGCATCTGTTCATAAGCGCTCCTTTTCCCATCACGAGGTGGCATTTGTTTCCCTACCCCTTGCATCTGGGCTGGCTGGTGACTTGCCTTGATTAATAGAATGCAGAAGTGACATTCTGAGAATTCCAAATTTAGGTCTCTAGAGGCCTTATAGCACCTGCTTTCACTCTTGGAAGCCAGCCACACTGCAAATGTCAGACTAGATTACTGAGTGATGAGAGGCCACCAGGGAGATAACCAAAGTGCCCAGATGTTGGAAGTGAGGCCATCTCTCATCCCCAAATCCCTCTTGAGTCGCTCCAGGTGATGCCATAAGAGAGAGGCCTGGCCAGCTTTCAGCTGTGCAGGCCATTCCAGCTGAGGCCACAGACATCACAGAGAGGAGCCATCCACACCGAGCCCTTCCTCAATTCCAAACCCACAAAAACATGAGCAAATAAAATGGTTTTATTTTAGGCCATGTAAGACTTAGATATTTATTACACAGCAAGAGATAAGTGAAACAAGATATAGTGAGCCTGGCCAGGAGGGACGTGGGATAAGTTCCAAGTAAACAGCATTGAGAACAGACATTTGTAACTTGGGAAGTTCTCCTCCATATGGAAGCAGGTAGTGACTGAAATGAGGGAAACCAACTCCCAGCAATAATGACGGCTGTCCTGGGGCCCCCCTGAGATTTCTCCTCCACATCTATGTTTCTGCTTCTTCGTGCAGCTTACGATGATCATCACTAAGCCAGGGAAAGGCGGACTCCTGGGGCTATGAGCCTACAGGGGGGAAGGAAGGCCTTTAACCCCTCACTTAATGATAGGACCATCCCAACATCACCGTTTGTGACCTTTGGGAAAGTCAGGTGCTTCTTATGTTCCCTAGACTGTGGCTTGAGAGCCATAGCAGAGGGAAAACAAGACAGTTTTTAAATTATATGTGCATGTGTATTTTTTTTTTAATTCCCATCATTTAAAAATCCCCATGTGCAAAATACTTCCAAGCCGTTGCCATCCCAGTTTTTTCCTTCAATTCAATGTCAGGCCAAAGAGTGAGTTAAATATCCTAACAATTAGCCTGCATTTTTAATCGCTTTTTCTATCATTAGAGCCCTGAAAAGACCGCTGCTCTCTCAGTACAACTCCACATTTTTACTGTCTTGTCTTTCACTTCTGACGAGATTTTCCAGCCAGCTAACCTCTTTTGCTTTATTGATTCCACTTAAGCTGCTTGCAAGAGATTCAGGGTGTGGATGAGCATGAGGTGGGGGCACGGTGCTGTTTGACTGCCTTCCAGGCACCAGCGCTGGTCAATCTGATCATTTGCTGGTCCAAAGGGATATGGACAGGGCTTTGGAAGGTCTGAATGCAGACTGGAGGGTAGCACGTCTCTAAAAAAGGGGAATATAAATCTGAACTGCGTCTTTTACCCTTTTGCAAAATTTTGATTTACAGCTGTCATCACCAAAAAGGTGAATGTAGACAAGCTCATTCAGAAGGCACTGCTATGAGGTGGGAGTGGGGTGGAGGGATGTTTGATATGAAGAGGAGAGAAAAGTGAGGTCATGGGAGCAAAATGTCCCAAACCAAGCCATCTCAGACCCTTTAAGCACTACTATTTTATGTCAGTAAACAGACGTCACTGATTTAAATGAAGGAATTATGGAACCTGAAAATAACAGTCTTAGCAGTTCTGAATTTGTGATTACTTCCTTGCTGAGTTGGGTCAGTGAGACAAAAGGGAAGTTCTATTACTCAGCCATTAGAAACGACAAATACCCACCATTTGCTTCAACGTGGATGGAACTGGAGGGTATTATGCTGAGTGAAGTAAGTCAATCGGAGAAGGACAAACAATATATGTTCTCATTCATTTGGGGAATATAAATAATAGTGAAAGGGAATATAAGGGAAGGGAGAAGAAATGTGTGAGAAATATCAGAAAGGGAGACAGAACATAAAGACTCCTAACTCTGGGAAACGAACTAGGGGTGGTGGAAAGGGAGGAGGGCGGGGGGTGGGGGTGAATGGGTGACGGGCACTGAGGGGGACACTGACGGGATGAGCACTGGGTGTTATTCTGTATGTTGGTAAATTGAACACCAATAAAAATTAATTCATAAAAAAAGGGGGGGGAAGTTCTGGAGAACTACAAAATCTCTCTTCTGTGTCTTAGGTAAAAAAAAAAAAAAAAAAAAAAAAAATTGCAACTCCTGGAAGCCCTAATATAAATTAGAGGACATCTGGCCAGTCTGCCAAATGCACAGTAGAATTTGAAAATTAACTGCGGTTGTGCTCATATTTCCAAAACAGATAAGCGCTATCACTATTAGTATTATATGTCTTAAAATACAATTCAAATAGACTCACTTATAGACGTTACAGTGTGTATCTGGGAATTGCTTCAAACATCGACTGGTGGGGGTTGGTGGGCACTCAGAATGAGACAGGATTGGCCATGTTGAAGAAAGTTATGCAAACTTGGAAGTAAAAGGATGACTTGCATGCCTTTTCAGTGTCTTTCCTAGAATATCATCTATGAGGCCCACCCAAGAATTATTTAGTTCTTCGGTTAGAGTTCAGCAAACTTTTTCTTTGAAAGGCCATATAATAAATATTTTAGGCTTTATGGGCCATTTGGACTCTGTCACAACTACTCTGCTTTGTTGCATGAAAGTAGCCACAGACTGAACTGGGTTCTGTTCTAAAGTGGTAAAAATTCAAACTTTATATTTTTTTAAAGATTTTATTTATTTATTCATGAGACACACACAGAGAGAGAGAGAGAGAGCCAGAGACACAGGCAGAGGGAGAAGCAGGCTCCCCGGGAGGAGTCCAATGCAGGACTCGATCACACCCTGAGCCGAAGGCAGACGCTCAACCACTGAGCCACTCAGGGGTCCCTCAAACTTTGTATCTTGATCAGAGGAATTAACTCATGAAAATACGGTCTGATCCTCTCTGGTGTGAAATGAATGAAAAAGTCCCACATTCATGGACGCTAATGGACGATCATTGAAGAAAAACCAAGTGGATCAATAATCATCTTATTTAGTTACAAACAGGATAATTTAGAAATGTACCAGTTGTTTACTGCTAAGACAAGTTTTATATTCAACTTTTAGCCACGATGGTGGTGGAAGCATCAGGGTTGTGATACTGTATTTCTTCAGTACTAAGAGACCATCAATTATATAATCTGCCACCAATTCAAGGCATTTAAACATTTTGTTTTTAAATTTTTAAGGAGGAAGCTAACTTATGATTTACAATGCTCTAGCATAAGAGAAAACTAACACACTATTGTATATATTATATTCTTACTATTTATTAGGCCCCGTGCTAGCTACTTGAGATGTGATTTCTTTTATCCCCCTCTCAGGTAAATATTGTCACATTTTACAAACGAGGAAATGTTTTGATCCCACATATGATCCAGAATCGAGTTTGTGCGATTTCAGTCCTTTACAACTTACTGAGGTTTGATGACCTAATATGCACAGGATTCCCCCTCCCCCACCCCAAAATGGAGGGTCCCTGTGAAACCTTTTGTGAGCTGAAATGGCATAAAGGAGCAATTACCATTAATTTAGACAAAAAAAAAAAAAAAATTGAGCATCCCCAGACCTCGTTTAGGCTTTTCTGATACTTTATGACACATCTTGCTAATGGATGCACAAAATAAATCAAACTGAAGAACAGATGCTCACAGACACAGTTCAGAGCTTTGGCAGCTTGGTGCTGAGATGCGGAGGGTAGTTCCAGGAGAAGGAGCACCGTGGGGCCGCTCTTGCTGCTCTGGGTGTGCACATCCCTCTATTGCTGTGAAACCAATGCTGAACACTCTTCTCACCTTTTCTTCATAAAAGTGGAAATCCTCTTTGATTTCATTCAGTTAGCAAAAGCAAGAGGCCTTTCACAATGAAGGCCTGATGGAGGTCCTTCATGAAAGCAAAGTGGCTTAAAACAAACTTTTGAGAAACAGGGGATACGTGTAGCCTTTCCTGGAGAATGTTCCATGTGTACATGAGAAGAATGTCTGTTTGGCTGCTGTTGGATGCATTCTTTAGTTGTCTAGTAGATCTAGTTTATCCAGGGGCGCCTGGGGGGCTCAGCGGCTGAGCATCTGCCTAGGGCTCGGGTCGTGATCCCGGGGTCCTGGGATCGAGTCCCCTGGGATTGCTTCTCCCTCTGCCTGTATCTCTGCCTCTCTCTGTGTCTCTCCTGAATGAATGAATAAATAAATCTTAAAAAAGATCTAGTTCATTCATTGTTCAAGTTTTCTATTTCATTGTTGATCTTCTGCATTATCAAAAGTGGGTTATTAAAGTCACCAACTATTACTAAATTGTCTGCTTCCCTCTTTAATTTTACTAGTTTTTGCTTTGGGCTCTATTTTTAGGTACATATATAGTTTGTTTTTTTAGAGATTTTATTTATTCATTCATGAGACACAGAAAAAGAGAGAGAGAGAGAGGCAGAGACACAGGCAGAGGGAGAAGCAGGCTCCCTGTGGGGAGCACAATGCAGGACTCCATCCCAGGACTTTGGGGTCACGACCTGAGCCGAAGGCAGATGCTCAACTACTGAGCCACCTGGGCGTCCTGGTACATATATGTTTATAATTATCTTTTCCTATTGGAGTGACCCTTTTCCATTATAAAATGTCTTCCCTTGTCTCTGGTAACAATTTTAAAGTGTATATTCCTTGATATTTGTATAGCTCTTCTCTTCTCTGGTTACTTCTTGCATAGTACATCCTTTTCCATCCTTTTATTGTGAGTCTATTTGTACCTTTGAATCTAAAGAGTGTGTATTGCCGAGAAAATGTAGTTACCATGTTTGTTTGTTTTAAAGATTTTATTCTATTCTTCATTTATTTGAGGGAGAGACTGAGGGAGCAAGTGTGGGGAGAGGGGCAGAGAGAAAGGGAGAGGGACAAGCAGCCTCCCTGCTCTGATTGAGCCGATGTGAGGCTCAAGCCCAGCACCTTGAGACCATGAGCCGAAGTTAGATGCTTAGCCAACTGAGCCACCCAGGTGCCCCAGTTACACCATATTTAGAAATTCATTCTGGTACTCTCTGCCTTTTTATTGGAATGTTTAATCCATATACATTTAATATAATTATAGATTAGGTAGGATTTAGGTCTACTATTTTATTATTCATTTTCTATGTGTCTTACATCGCTTTTGTTCCTCTCTTCTTTTGTAATTGCCGCCTTTTGCATTAAATAAGTTTGAGTACGCCCCTTTAATTCCTTTGTTCTTTCTCAACTATATTTTTAAAGTTATTTTCTTAGTGGTTTTCCGAAAGGTTTACTATTAGCATGTTAAAACAATCTGGTTTAGATTAATACCTGATTAATTGCAATAGTATACAAAACCATTGCTCCGATAGTTTCATTCCTTTTCTCTCTTTTGTGCTCTTGTCATACAAATTACATCTATATATAAGTAAACCTATCAGAAGTTTAATAAGTATTGTTTTATGCGGTTGTCTTAAATTATATGGAAGAGGTGTAAATAAAAATACATTTATACTTTTATAATTCTCATATATTTATTTTTACTGGTGTTCTTTATTCACGTGAATTCAAGTTCGGATCATCCTTTTATTTCAGTCTAAAGGAGTCCCTTTAGTATTTCATGCAAAACACGTCTATTTGCAACATATTCTCTCAGTTGTTTATCTGGGGATGTCTTTATTTTTTGAAGAACAGTTTGCTGGCTCTCAAGTTCTTGGCTAATAGGGTTTTTTCATTTTTGTTTTTCTTCTGGCACTTTAAACGTGTCATCCATCCTACCACCTGGCCTGCATGGTTTCTGTTGGGACATTCAACTTGCTGAAGATCCCCTGTGATGAGTTCCCTTTCTCCTGCTGCTTTCCAGAAGTTGGCCATGTTGGGTCTACCTGTGGTCTCTTGAGTTTTTCTTCCGTGGAGTTCTTTGAACGTCTTCGATATGTAGGTTAATGTTTTCCATCAAAGTTGGAGCACACATTCAGTGTTCTGGAAAGTCCTGACAGTTCTACTTTAGCCTTTACTTCTTGCTTCTGCAGAGCCTCAAGGTGATCTGGTCAGATCTCCTGGGTGTGCAAGGACTTCTCGGACTCCACTAACACGCTAGAGCTTTTCAGTGTCCTCTGTGGACATCTCGTTCACCAGTTTTAACTTTTTTCAGTTAAAACCTTGGGTCTCTCGTTAGCCTTGACTGGTGTGACTGCCTTAGATAGCGATGATGCTAAACAGTTGTTGCTGATCGTTTTTAACAAGCCCATTCTGTTCGCTTCCTTGGCCACCACATATTTGGAGTGAGGGTAAGGAAAGTGGTTAAGTCAAAATGCCACAAAGCTCCCTGTTCATACTGAGATTCAACTGTTTTTCTTGAATAAATACTCCCTGGATTGTTGTAGTCCTTTAGCTAATTTCCAGAACTTTGAAAAAAATGATTTTAACAATTTTTACCTGTGTTCTCTTTGATTGTTTGGCAGAGTGGAATTTCAAAGGTCTTACCCTACTATTCCAGAAGCATTTCTACAGATGAAGAAGTAAAAGTTCAGGTAGATTAAATAGTTGCCTAAGGACACAAGAGCTGAGGAGCACCAAAGCCAGGATTTCAAATTCAAAATGTGTATTTTATACTCTACTACCTCTTGCTCTAAGAGTTTCTAGAACTTCTCATTAGATAAGCAGTAGTTGCAAAACCTCCACCATGAACGCACTCACTTAGACGGCATTTCTCATAAAGCCCTTTCACATCAAACCTCCATTCCTGAACTTTGCCTGTGCCAGCAAGCCATGCTGTCTGCTGACCCACCAACATCATTTTCTATAAACTGTGTTTCTGTCACAGGCATTTTATTTCCCTCTCACTCTGGCTTTGACTCTTACTCAGCTGGAACTCTGTGCCAGCATCTCCTTCGCACTTACTGTAAAGGTGTCTCTTGGCAAGGGTTATTCACAGGAGGAAAGAGTACCAAGCTCAAATAGAAGGTCCCTACCGGGCGGAATGAGTGCATGCTGCCCCAGGGCTACCAGCCCGGTGCCAGTGAGCAGCTGAGGAGCAGGTGCGCGCCACAGAACAAAATCATGCTCAGATTCCTCTTGAACTTGAAGTGTGCTTAAAACAGACCCCTGCATTCTTGAGCACTGACCTGTAATAAAAGTAATGGTAAACGGTAAATCTTTTACCAGGGGGCCCAGATGCACCATTTATTATAAAACCTGAAGTGTCAGGACGGAGAGGCATTTGCTGCAGTGGTGTCAATATTACTACAGCTCCCGATTTCTCTCTTTATGGGCTCAGTTGACCTGAAATAAGACCATTTCACATACTAACAGGGCATTTTTTGGTGACCTACTTGACCCTTGCCTCTGGCCTCAGCAATAAGAAGTGGTAAGATGACATTTTTTCACAGAACAAAACCCAAAGAATTCAAGCTTAAGGGAGCCTAAATCCAACAACGCCTGGCCTTGGGCGTTTAATCAGTTAACACCTGTCTCCTCCTGCAGGGGTCCTGTGCCCTAGCCACACAAATAAAATCACCCGGGGGCTTAAAATTCCTATTGACAAGGCCCTACCTCAGACTAAGTGAGAATCAGGAGTGCCCAGGGAGGAGCCCATAGTATTTTCAGAATGTTCTTCAGGTGACTGTGGGAACCACTGTGGAAAGATCCTAAGGACGCCACCCCCCCAACCCCCGAACTAGAGCAGATTAGCAAATACAAACTACAGGATCCTATGTGAGTCTGATTTCAAATAAAGAATTAAAAAAAAGAGGGCAGCCCGGGTGGCTCAGTGGTTTAGCGCCGCCTTCAGCCGAGGCCCTGATCCTGGAGATTCGGGATCGAGGCCCACATCAGGCTCCCTGCATGGGGCCTGCTTCTCCCTCTGCCTGTCTCTCTCTCTCTCTCTCTCTCTCTCTCTCTCTCTTTCTCTGTGTCTGTCATGAATAAATAAAATCTTTAAAAAAATTTTTTTTTCATTAAAAAAAGATGTCCCATGCAATATTTGGGGCACAGCTAAATTATTTGCTGTTTATCTGAAATTCACATTTAGACGGGTGTCCTGTATCGGGAGACCCTACACAGAACAAAGCTGAAAATTAGAAGGGGCAAAAATAAAGCTCTTCCAGAAGAGACCTGTCACTGCTGGGTAGGTTCTTATCTCGAAAAAATGAGATGATCTGGAACATGACAAAAAGGAAAGTTGCTTGGCCAGGTCAAAGCCGTCCGGAGAGAGTTTCCAAGTCAGGAGGAGGAGAGAGTATTAAAAAAAAAAAAAAAAAGAGGAGAGAGGGCCACAGGAATGTTCGGGGCAGGCTTCTTAGCGCCTGCCTTAGTTTGCGAGGCCTGCCCTAAAGCCCCACCACAGGCCGGGGGCTTCAACCACAGGCTTTTTTTTTGTTTGTTTATGATAGTCACAGAGAGAGAGAGAGAGGCAGAGACACAGGCAGAGGGAGAAGCAGGCTCCATGCACCGGGAGCCCGACGTGGGATTCGATCCGGGGTCTCCAGGATCGCGCCCGGGGCCAAAGGCAGGCGCCAAACCGCTGCGCCACCCAGGGATCCCCAACCACAGGCTTCTACTTCTTCCACGTGCTGGAGGCCAGCCAGGGGGCCAAGATCAAGGTGTGGGCAGGGCTGGTTTCTCCTGGGGCCTTCGCCCCGTGTCCCCACATAGTCCACGTTCCTGCGGCCCTGGGGGCCCCCCCTGTGCCCCAGCGACCTCCTGGAAGGACAGCAGAGGGGATCAGGCCCCACCTGAGCCCATTATACCTTCCTTACCTCTTCAAAGGGTCACTCTCCAAATCCAGTCAGGTTCTGAGGGGCGCGGCCTCCCCTCCCCCGCCCCGTCCGGGAGCAAGGGAACGGCGCAGCCCGTGCCCAGTGCTCCCTCTTTCCGTGGGTCCCTGTTAGGGACAAAACTAACACCCCCTGAAGGTCCTCGGGCCCTGGCCTCCCTGCAGGACCCCGCGGGCTGCGCCTCCAGCCCCGCGCCTCGTCCAGCCTCTGCCCGCGGCGGGCGGCGTCCCCGGGCCAAGTGTCCCCCCAAGAAGGGCGCGGCCGGCCTGGGGCCCCAGGGCGCAGAGGTCACGGCCGCACACGCGGGCCCGCTCCGCGGGCAGGTGCCACCATCGGAGGGGAGGGGCGGCAGGGAGGCTGGGGAGACCGGTCGGTGCCCAGGGCCGCGGACCGAGGTCAAAGCACGTCGCTCCCGGTCTGTCCTGTTGGACGCGGACCGAGCGCACAAGGGGGCCAAGGCGGCCCCGGGGGGTGGGGGGGGCGTCTAGTCCCCGCGGCCCCCGCCCCCGAGGGCTCCTTGATGTGGGGTAAATAAAACCCAGGCTGAGAAATGAGCTTTCCCAGCCCGCCTCGGCGGAGGAGGGCGGCGGGCGGCACAGATGGAGCCCCCCGGGGCCGCACCCCAATCGTCTCAGCCTGCCAGGCCCCTAATTTACAGTCATCGGTCTAATGGCTTTACGGGGACTTAGGGGACCGCGGAGGAGCCGGCAAACGCCCGAGACGATGGGTCCTGTGGGCCGTGTGCAGGTCGGGGTGGCCGCATCCATGCGGAGCAGGGCCGGGGCGGGTGGGGGGGGAGTCCCTAGCCGGGGCCAGGGAAGGGGGAGGCGGCCCGGCACCTGCTCCCGTGCACTGCCTCGGCCCAAACCGGAGGAACCCAGTGTCGTTCAGGAAGGCCGGGGCTGCACAGGCTGCACCGTATCACTGGGAGCACCGGTGGGAGCTCTGATGGGAGCACCGCTGGGAGCACCGCTGGGAGCACACTCCCTGAAAGCACAGAGATCCTTTGATCTGACCGGTCCCCCCCCACCCCCCTACAGACATCAGCGCCTTGGGGGCAGAAGCACGGCGGAAGGACAGGGGGCTTTTCTGCTTACCATTGGGGTACCAGGGTCGGGTGGAATGCAGTCTATCAGTTATTCCAAGGGAAGGGGTGTCGGGGACTCACGGGGCGAACAAGCTTTGGAACACGCTTCGAACGACGTTATATTTGACAATCACCTGTGCAGGGTGTTGAGTTCTCTTCCAACACCCAACTAGGCCTGGAGGAAAACACGGTGAAATGAGAGCGGCTATAACGCGTTACCTGTAAGTGACAGGATTACACAACCGTCGCGCCTCCCCACCCAGCCCCAGGGGTCGCGGGGAGCTTGCATCTAAAGTATGTAATGAGCTCCTAAGTGGGTGGCCTTCAACACAGACACGTTCCCATACAGGGGTTCCTAAGGATTCCTTCCTCCCTGGGGTCTGACCCACAGGTAGAAAGGTGAGGCCAAAACTCCAGGCCTCGCTCCCTCAGAGGGCAGGGATAGCGGCAGGTCTCACTCCTGTTGTGCAAACCATGCGCCACCATGTCCCTCAGCCCACAGGCAGAGACAAACCTTAGTGTCCCCTGCGCCCTGCACAACGCCGGGCACATGCAGGTGCATATTTAATAAATGCAGTTTAATGAAACAGTCCTTGGCCTTCTGACCTTAAAACAGACCTCTGTCCCAACCCCCAGTGATGCTTGTGCTTAGCCTGGGGCAGCAGCAGCCCCTGAAAGGCTTGTTAGGCCAGAAAGCTGGGTCCCACCCCAGAGCATCTCACTTACCAGGTCTGGGGCAGGCCCAGATGCTGCTGCTGCTGCTGCTCCTCGGCGGCCACGGACTGTCTTCAGGAGGAAAGACCCAAGGCTGCCCGCCGCCACACACGCTTTTCATAACCGTGCCCTGAGACTGCCCCAGAAGAAGCCATGAGAAAGAGCCGAGGCTAAAGTCGTTGGCAGAGAGCTAAAATGGCCAAGAATGCTCTTAATCCAGTGCTCAGCAGCTCACCAGTTACATTGTTCATCCAGTACTAGGACACGAAGGGACTCCAGAAGGCACTTCCACTGTCCGTCCTCTTGGAAGATCACAGAGTCCAGCTGAGGAGGAAATCCTATGTACGTAAGAAGATACGTGGTTACGTGGTATCCGCAAGCTCCGTGGGAATTCTAGAACGGAGAGAGTAAGGTCACCTAGGCTAGCAGCTCGCAGGGCCAGAAGCTTTACAGAAACTCTACGTCTGGGCCCCCAAGGGATGGTACTTGTTGCTATAAAACTACCCCCCCCAAAATTAGGGGCTGAACAGTACTGTTGTCTCATGGTTCTGTCGGCTGACAGTAACTCACCTAGGTGGTTGGCGTGGGGTCGCCCATCCTGTCCCAGCCAGACTGGGTGCCCTCCCGGGGAGACGCGACAACCGGGGGCGGGGGGGAGACCCCAGGGTCCAAGGCAGGCCCAGGGCAGGTGCAAGGACAGGAAGCGCTGGGCACCTCCGCAGATTGGGCCAGCCATGCAGGGGCTGTTACTTTCCTGTGCCTCGCTTGGGCTTTGTCATTCAGTCTCTTACAAACAGGGAAGAGATGAAGGTTGGGCTCACGGACTTCAGATATTTAGACGTTCAGAGCTCAATGCCGTGTCAACCTTCCACTGCTGCTGGAACGAGCTCGAATGGCCTAAAGCCATATGAATCGTGCGCTCACAGTTCTGGAGGGAAGGGGTCCCAAATGAGTCTCCCCAGACTAGAGTCCAGGTGTCGCCGGGCCTTTCTGAAGGCTCTAGGGCAGAATGCGATTCTCTGGCTTCTCCAGCGCCCATAGGCCACCCCGACCCTGGGCTCCTAGCCCCTTTCGGCCTCAACAGAGGTGGGTCAAGTCCTCCCCCACATCCCCTGCTTCTGACTCCCGACCTTCGGGCTTCCTCCAACCCCTTGATTACACTGGGCCCACTGGAGAATCCAGGATAGTCCCCCTATTTTTAGGCCATCTGATCAGCAACCTTTCCTCCATCTGTAACCCCAATTCCCTTTTACCATGTAGCCAGTTCGCAGGTCCCAGGGACAGGGATGTGGGCACCATGATGTGGCACACTTGGTCTGTTGACCAACGCGCCATAGAACCTTGTTAAAGCTATGCTGTTATAAAATTTTCCCCGGTATTCTTGAAAACCAAGAACTCTACACACCACTTATTTGTTTTCCCTCTTTTGGGTTTGCTGGAAATGGCAGTAACAATCTTGACCATCTGTCATTTAAACAAGGGAAGATTTGTTATTGCTTTGGCTAAAAAGGCACCTGCCACAACAGCAATGCTGTCCACCTCGGCAGACGGCGCACCACTCCCAGGAGCCACAGCCTGCTATCCCCATGTCACCCCCCCACCTCTTCCGACCAGTGCCACATGGTTCTTACTGGTCCTGTGTCCTGGCCGGGAGGCAGTCAAGGGGATCTGGTGCTCTAATGGGGGGCTAACATACTGATCCACAGTCCTGGGGCGTCCAGCCATTTGTCTGGGTCAGTTTTTTAGTTTCTGTAGAACTGAGTGATGTGTAAAATGACTCCTCACCATTTCTTTATCCATCCAAGCAATGTAACAGCGCTGCTGGTGCAGTTGCTAGCAAGCCAAAGGGCTGCCCTAGTTCCAGGAGGGCTAGACTTCAATCACCAAGAAAAGAATTGGATTGGCCTTTGTTTTTGACATCACAGTTAGGCATGGGAGATGATGAGTTAGAATTTCCAGAGAATAAGGAAATAATGCAGTTCTGCTTTTTAACTTTTTCTCGGTTATCTCATAATGTTCCTTAAACCAGCAAGAGGATCACTCTGCCGATAACAAAAGGCCACTTTTTTTAAAGATGTATTTATTTTAGAGCAGGTGAGCACAGGGGGAGGGGCAGAGGACGAGAGAAAATCAGGCAGACTCCCCAGTGAATGCAGAGCCTGATGTAGGGCTCAATCCCACAACCCCAGGATCACAACCTGACCCGAAACCTAGAGTCGGACGCTTAGGCAACTGCACCACCCAGGCACTCCAACAGAAGCCCACTTTTAAAATGGTGGCATGGCTACACAATTTCAGGAGCTTAGAGCTGCAAATGCTCTGTGTGTGAGAGAGAGAGGGAGAGAGAGAAAGGCAGAGACAGAGGTCAAGGTTGAGATTATAAGGGTGTATTAAGCATTTTTAAATTTTTTTATTTTTAAATATTTATTCATGAGAGACACAGAGAGAGGCAGAGACAGGCAGAGAGAGAAGCAGGCTCCCTGTGTGGACCCCGATGCGGGACTCGATCCTGGGACCCCAGGATCATGCCCTAGGCCGAAGGCAGGCGCTCAACCACTGAGCCACCCAAGGCCCCTGTATTAAGCATTGAAAAGAGACTTTTTAGACTCCCTCAAGTAGCTCCCACTCATGAACACCACCCTTGTGTCGGGACTTTGCTGGGCATTTTAGGTATCATCTGTGATCCTCAGAATGACCTTTCATGGCAGGTGTCATAAACAAGGAAACAGGATAAATGAGATTAAGAAAGTCACCTGAGGTCACGTAAATAGCATTGAGAGGAAATAACCCCTTGGCTCCTGCCTTTAAAGCCCCTGCTGTCTTGCACAGAATAACTCACTGCTGGATCATCTAAGTCTATCAGGTAAATGGTGGCAGTGGAAATATGTGCAGCCGCCTCTGCTGGGGCCCTGAGGTCATGAGATTTTGTTCATGCCTCTGTCATCACTGAACTCCGTGACCCGCACTGACTCCCCCAATTTCCTGGTTAGAGGCCTGCGCAGAGTCCCATGACGAGTCAGCAGCAGAGTCCCATGATGAGTCAACTGTGAGGCTCCCCTGTTTCTGGTGCCACATCCCTTCTCTCCGAAGATGGCTGTACCTTACATAAGACACAATGAAGAAATGAGGCAGACAAAAAGAAGAAATGAAGAAACTGAAGAAGAGAAAAATGAGAGCACACGTATTTGTGTAGGAAAGGAGTAGCTGCGCGTCGTAAAACACGCAAAGAGCCACACATATTGTGCAAAGACAAAAGAGAATTGCTCCAAAAACACTTGGAAACTCTGATTTTACATTATTTACCAAGTTCTCTTTACACTGCATCCTCAGAGGAGATGTATCTTTGAACTCAACTTCAATATCGACCAAAACAAACAACTAAAAATGTCCATTAAAAACGAAGCCAAAACCAACAATGGCCCCGATAGTAGAGAAAATTTCTTTTGTGAATTAAGTTTCACTTAGTAATAAATTCATTCTTAAGGTCAGATTATTTCTTTCTTCTTAAGGCCTTGGAAGCTTTTAGTTTACAGAAAGAGATTATTGTCGCTGGAATTCAGCTTTCCTGACAACATCATTTTAAAATCCAAGAATGCGTACGCACTGCAGTAAGAGACAGTGTCTACCGTTATGCAAAACCCTGCGGTGGGCAGCTCTGCTCATTGCCTAGGCCCCACGCAGTGCCCAGTGCCAAAACCTTACACAGACCAGTCCTGTGTAAGGGGCTCTGATTGATTTTATCCCCAAAGAAGCTAGAACATTGGAAGAGTCCCATAGTGATACTCGGTAATACTGGTTAAATAACTATATATGCGTGTGTGTATATATATTCACTGACCCACAGAATTACATGAGCACATGTATTTTCCAAGGCAAAACAATTCAGGTAAAGCTGCCCTCTTTTCCAACACCCCCTTCCTTCAAAAATCCTTTTCCTGGGACGCCTGGGTGGCTCAGGGGTTGAGCATCTGCCTTCAGTTCAGGTCATGACCCCAGGATCCAGGATCGAGTCCCACATCGGGCTCCCTGCTTCTCCCTCTGCCTGTGTCTCTACCTCTGTGTCTCTCATGAATAAATAAAATCTTAAAAAAACTTTTTCCTTTAGGTTCTCCTCTTGAACAGTGCTACTGACATTAGTTTTAATTAGATTAGAATCTTATTCAAAATGCCAGGGAAAAGGAGACCAGAAGTACATCTGACCTTGGCCCCAAAGCTTCACAGATAGCCCCTAAGAGGAAAAGGAGCCAGGACAGATTTCAGCACCGTTTCTATGCTGTATTACGTCCCTAAAAATGGCAGCTCTGCATTAGAAAGGAACATGAATGCCATGACCTTCAGGGTTCTTACCCAAACCAGTCAGAGGGCCTGCAAAAGTGTTTGAAATCCTCTGCTTACTACACAGGGTAAACATTGAAAGTTGCCATTACAATCACAGTAAAATTTTGGTGTTAGCACTTTAGCATGCTTCCTCTTGACTTCCCAGTTACTCTGTAAGTTTTTGAAAAATTAAGATAGCCAAGTTCAGAGTCGGGATGATAGTAAGAGGTCAGAAAATGTCCAGAGCATATGGAGAGGCTAGGGCACTGGTCGAGACGGCTCTAGGGGTGGAAAGCCCTCGTGAACGGAAATCAGCATAAGGGAGCTGGACACCACGAATAAAATAACTTCCTTGAGAGGAAGAAAGAATGCCAGGGGAAAACTAACATTTACCCAAAAAATTACATACTAGGTAGGCCCTGTGTTAGGTACTTAGAATATATGAACATGAGATTCCACAGGAAGAATCTTTGTGTTTATTTTACAGCCATTCTAGTTACATTATATTTCTCTTGTCTTGTGATTTTAAAATTACAAAAAAGGGGCACCTGGGTGGCTCTGCGGTTGAGTGTCTGCCTTTGACCCAGGGCGTGATCCTGGGTCCTGGGATCGAGTCCTACATCTGGCTCCCTGCATGGAGCCTGCTTCTCCCTCTGCCTGTGTCTCTGCTTGTCTCTCATAAATAAATAAATAAAATTTAAAAAAAAAAGTTACAGGAAGAAAAAGAGAAGAAAAGAAAGAAAGAAAGAAAGAAAGAAAGAAAGAAAGAAAGAAAGAAAGAAAGAAAGAAAGAAAGAAAGGGAAAGAAAGAAAAAAGAAAAGGAAACCAATGAGAAAACTGCATTTTTCCTAGAGGAAAATACCATTCCTCTGGGTCTGAAAACCTGTGAGCTAGAGACACATATTATCTGTCCACACACAATAAATATGGTGGGGTAGGCACCGAATAACCACTATAAACACTCGCAATACAGAGCAAACGACAGGCATGCAGCCACCTGCAGCCCCAGCACACCCCACATGGGTGCACTTGGCAGTCCCATAAGCAGGCTTCTCTTCAACTGCCTACAGTGATTCTCCTCAGCTCCTGGCATCATCCTCTGGGATCTTAGTTCCGCTGAGTTATCCTTCCTATTCCAAAAAATATAGCCCATGTTTTAAGTTTAGTAGTTTCATCAGCCTGGTTTCTGCCTGTAAAAGTTCCAGGATCTAAAATCTTTCCATTTCTCTTCCTAGTCCAAGCTGGTAGTATTTCTACAAGTATAATTTTCTTAAAAGCTTTGTAAGTTTCCTATGAATCTTATTATTTTATTGGCATTTATTTCATTAGACAAAAGCCACATCAACAAATCTTGTCTACCTTGGCCTCCCTGGAGAGCTCCTGAGCATCAGCGTCTTTAATATTATTAGAATTCTTATTGCCTAATGGAAAGGATCATTTAGCCTTTCTTTTGGTGAGGATTCAGGAGACACCACCCTCAATCCTTCTGGAGTCAGGATTTTCCAGTCAAATCCCTGGCCTCATCTCTACCCTGGGAAGTTTTCGTGACAGGACCACGATTTTGACTTTCCTCCCGTGGCCTTTTGTTAACTTCATGCATATCCTGTTGGGAGACACTGGTTGTATCTTCTAACCCAGCAAGTCCTGCCT